AAGACCAAGTTCTGTCCTTATTCAATATACCGTCATTCTGTAAAAATGATTTGCCGTGGTCCTTTTTAATGCAAAAAACAGGCGACTGAAAAGAAGAACAGATTAAGCCGAAATGAATGGAGATTAGAATGCGCGATGAATAAAAAGCAGGAATTCGAAAAGAGAGAAATGGAAAAAGAAGAACAAAATTAAAACAGGATGGACAGGAGAAGGGATCCATATTCGACATCATATTATATTAACACGAAGGAATCATATGCACTTTTCACACTATCATATTTCCATGAACATGTACATTGCACCTCAAAATCTGGGTCAAAACCCTAATTTGGCGTATATCATAATAATGAACATGTTTATCGAGTTTAATAAGCTAAAACTAAAACTCCAACCTGAAATGGGACAGACGAACTGACGGACAGAGCGGAAAACGTAATGTTAACGTTACTACCATCGTTGGCGGAGCAAAAACACGCGCCTTCAAACTAGTTTAAGGTGGTACATTACACTACAGGGAGATAACTCTGTAAAAATCAGCTGAACGTTTTAATCACGTTCTAATTTTTAGGAAATATTAAGCTTCTCAATGATCAAAATTAATGTTTGTCAAACTGCTATATATCCAATGACATTTTTCCGATAAAGTGTGTTGTTCAAGTTTTTTGAATTTTTTATATTTTTGTCAAAGGGTCAAAGTAAATATTTTGTCCAAACTTTATGAAAAAATTAAACGAGCCAAACTAATTTTAGTCAAGGTACCACCTTAACACCGCCACATTCTGTATGTGCCTATCCCAAGTCAGGAGCCCGTATTTCAGTGGTTGTTGTTTGTTGCTGTGTAAAATATTTGCTTTTCGTTCATTATTTTGTACATAAATTAGGCTGTTAGTTTTCTCGTATAAGTTGTTTTACTTTTGTCATTTCGGGGCCTTTTATAGCTGACTATGCGGTATGGGCTTTGCTCATTGTTGAAGGCCGTACGGTGACCTATAGTTGTTAATTTCTGTGTCGTTTGGTCTGTTGTGGAGAGTTGTCTCATTGGCAATCATACCACATCTTCTTTTCATATCAGAATGTTTACGCTTTCTTCTTTTAGAATGCATACATAAATTACATAATACTCAAGAATTGTATTATCAAATTTTGCACAATTTAATTTAAAAATCTTTTTTTATTCCTACGATTGACGTAATGACATTAAAAACCACTTCGGTACATTGCATCTACTTTTGAATAAAGAGGAAGACATATTTATTATCTATTAAAACGGCTCACAAGAAATATTATAGTACAGTATATGGATTTTATTGTTTTATACATTAAAACTGAGTCTGACCTTTTATTTGTTTAGTTACAAATAATGCTTATGATCTTAGATAGAGAATAGTCATAATGTTTTGTAGACTTAAGTATTAATACATAATTTATCTTTCTTCGCTTTTATCGTTTTCTTCTTTCCGTCTTTTTGAAAGGACAATAGAAAGACAAAATGAAAATAAACTTTTGATCTTCTGCAGGAAGTTCGGTGAGGTTCATAAATGAGAAGACATTTGTTAATTAAAGAAGTAATATTCAGGCGAAGAATATTACGTAATTGAGTGGTACTTTCGGATTTTTATAAAACTTTGTATGCATTTAGAACTCGTTGAACTGCTTCGTAAATCTTAATTATGTACTTAGGTCAGGTTTAGAAATTTTTGTCAGATGTTCGGACTCCTTGGTTTTTCCCTACGATACAGGGTAAAATATTTTGCCCCATAACACCCATTTTTCTTTTCATATAAGACTTCAATAGCTCATTAAAGGTCATTCACCAAAATTTAAGCAGATTCTAGATTTCTTTTCTTTCGATTTGAGACCCAAATAATACCAATGCAAATATAAGGTAAAAGTCCGAGACAGCCTTTTCCCGCTATTTTTTTTTTTAATCAAATATCACGAAAAGGAGTTCCATAACCTATCAATATGTTTAGCTTATTTTGTTCCTTAACTAATACTTATAGTATCAGTTTTAAATACTAGATTTTTTTAATTTCAACTAACTAATCCTTAAATGACCATTCATGTTTTCAAAGATATAATCAAAATTCAAAAGTGACGAAATAGATCTGATAATGTTTAATTATATGTAAAAAGAAGCAAAAAAGTGCAGTTTGTTCCCGCGCTTTGAATTGCTATTTCTCGAAATTCCGTCAACAGAATTTTGTTTTAAAATGAAATGTCATTAATGGGAGAACATTTCTGTTTCAATACCAAGATATAAGAGGTCAATAGATTCGTTTTTCCAGTAGAATTCAATAAGTCTCGATTATATTGAATAAAAAGTAATAAAAATAACAAAATAAGCATAAAGTCGAAACGACGTCACGATACAAAATCGTTTTTTCTTCTTCAAAATCGTAATTATTTTTTTTTTTTTTTTACATCAATCAAACTTACATATCATTTCATTTGGATTAAATATTATGGGTTTTGGAAAAGGAGTCATGTTAATCCGAGGATTATAGTAATAAGGACCTAAACTCAATAATAATTCGAACGATGTTAAAGGAAACGAAAATATATCGAGGATTGAAAATCCAAAGATTATTTGTCAAGGCTTTAGATAGATGTCTTTCTGCTTTGTATCGGTCTGATGAGTTAAGCCCTTTTCTACTGATCTTTATAGGTTGTCTTATGTTGTAATGTTACACCACTTTATCAGGTTAGGAGGAGAGTTTGGCGCCAATAAACTATTTTAACCCAACCACATTCTGTATGTGTATATTCCAAGTCAGGAGCCTGTAATTTAGTGGTTGTCGTTTGTTGCTGTATATCATATTTGTTTTCGTTCATTGATTTGTACATAAATCAGGCCATTAGTTTTCTCGTTTGAATTGATTTATTTTTGTCATTTCGGAGCCGTTTATATCTGACTATGCGGTATGGGTTTTGCTAATTGTTGAAGGCCGTACGGTGAACTATAATTGTTAAATTCTATGTCATTTGGTCTCTGGTGGAGAGCTGTCTCAGTGGCAATCATACCACATCTTCTTATTTTCATATTTGTTACTTTCTTTAACATTCTTGACAAGATCACCCTTCTTTGTAATAACATTTACTAATTAAAAAAAATCTCTTCTGTCTTTGTAAATTGTCTTGCGTAGTTTAAGCTTCGTCGTAAATTATGTAAAAGACATTTCAAATCAGCAACAACATTTCTGAACTGGTTTATTAGTCGAACGCCATCAAACAAAATGATTTTCTGCATCAGCAGCAAGCCTTTTGAAGGCCGAACGGTAGCATATAATTACTTATATTCACTTCATTTGAACTATGGTGGATAGTTGTCTCATTGGCAATCATACCACATCTCCTTATTTTTATATAGCTATTGGAATACATCATAAACATAATAATGGTCATACTTTACTATCCGGAATATTTTGCTCATTCTTGAAGGTAGTCCGTTAACCTATAGTTGCATACATCTGCCTTCATTTTATTTTGTCTCTGGTAGATATTTGTGTCAATGGCAATTATATGGCAAGCCGTTTTTATATTTATTCAATTTCAAGATATCTTATCAAGTTAAATCAGATATCTTTTTAACTAAATAAGATATCTTATAAACTAATTGAGATATCTTGATAATTAGATAAGATATCTTATTAAACTGGTAATAAAGATATTATACATATACGATATCTTATTTAGGTTATAAGATATCTCAAATAGTTTAAAAGATATCTTAATAGTTTTAAAAGATATCTTTTATATAGTTTCTTATAAAGATATATTGTGAACTTAATAAGATATCTTATTAACTAAAAAAGATATCTTCCTTTCTTTTACGAATTGAAATAAAGTATCCCTTTATGTTGGAAAAAAGTTTGACCAATCATAAAATCAATAGCAATTCAGATCGAGATTGCCAAACCGTATCTGTATCTGTATAGATTCTGCAAGTGTAGGCACACCTCCAATGGAGTAGAATAAAATAGTGTCCTTCACCACACAATATTATAAGTTAAGAATATGTCCAATCCACTACACAATAATATATCAATAAAAATTACTTCTTCTGTTCCGCCACCGTTATGTACAATTAATATATAATTTCACAATAAAAAGATAAAATTATCTTTTATTTTAATCCGTATGCACCTATATAATAACCAAAATTTATAACTGGTTGATTACTGTCAATTTGATTTGATTACAACTGATGATACTTGTGGAGATTCACACCCTAATCATCAGCATAATGTCAAAATAATTACTGAACACTTAAGCTTTATTTCAATACTTGTTTTCTGCATTTTTGTTATCAAGCCTTAAATTTTATTTGCAAACATTTATTCTCGGCTGTATTAAATGTAAATTGCATGTTATTGACATACAAATTCCTAAAAATGGGGGTTATGTGCATTTCCACGGAGGTTGTAAATGATCATTTCACGATAAACGAAAGAAAACAAAGCAGTTCCTTGCTCCCTATCAATATGCATGTAACTTGTTTAATGTGCTTCAAGCAGGAACAATTGCAATCATATGAAAATGACAGTTTACCACCAGCAAAGAAGATCCCAATATGAAAACAGGGATATTGGTTTTGTCCTTTTTTCTAGGTAACCCTGCTTTTGATATCAAAAATAATTAAAACGAAAAAACTTATCACATTTAGTTTGTAAGAAATCTTAATTGTTTATTTTTTATAGATTCTTATTTAGTATATAAGATATCTTACTTAATATATAAGATATCTTATTTTAAGTGTTGATGGAATGGCCTTTCTTAATTTTAGTATGACTCGATGAAGACATAACCAAGCCAATCATATTTTTGATTTTGTTTTGAATCATGTTAGTACCGCAGCACTGACAACTAAGCTGATAATTTAAAATAAATAGCACATAGCTGCGAGAATGAAAAGCAAATTGGGATAGAGTAAATTATCTCTCTCGTAATAACCAATCAAAGTCTGGCATTTTGACATGAAGTATAATAATCTCACTTACTTAATAGACGTTCCATCTCTCTTTGCTTCAGCTTGCGATTAATCTTGACAAGGTATCCCTTTATGTTAGCACAATATTGTTTAGCTTGCCAATGGGTGGACTTTGTTCCAACGTATTTGTAACAAAAGCAGATATCTGCGAAAAATGTATAACCAGTACTAGTCGGGCATGCGTAACCGTTTATTCTGCAATCTGAAAATTGAAAAAAATCAACGTTACAAAGTAAACACATATTTCGGGTACGGACACTTTCCAGTGGCGGATCCAGGGGGTGGGGTGGGATGGGGTGTGTGTGTGGAAAAGGGGGGGGGGGGGGGGTGGGATCTCCATTTTCTTGGTCGATCAATGCTTTTGAATGGGGACATATGGTTGGAACCCCCTCCCTTTATCCTGAGTTGGAACCCCCCTTTATTCTTGGTTGAAACCCCCTTTTAAAAACGGATGGATCCGCCTCTGCTTTCCACGCAAAGAAAGATAACGGAATGGCCTAGTGGTAGCATATGCAAGATATCGTGAAATTTTCGACATCCCAAAATCAGGCTTATCACCGAACTTTTACTTACAGGAGTAACATGACGGTTGCCACATTTGGAGCAGGATCTTCTTATCATTTGAAGCAGGATCTTCTTACCGTTTGGGTCAGTATCTTCTTATCCTTCTGAAGCTAATGAGTTCACCCCCTGATTTACGCGGGATTCATGTTGCTCATAGATATAGGAAGATGTGGTATGAGTGCCAATGAGACAACTCTCCATCCAAGTAACAATTTATAAAAGTAAACCATTATAGGTCAAGGTACGGACAGTCTATTTTCTTATGTTGTGTTTTGCAGACTTATGTATAATGTCTTTTTACTTTTTGCCATGTCGTTGTCAGTCCGTCTTCGACTTATGAGTTAGAATATCCCTTTGGTATCTTCCGCCTCTCTTTTATATATCGCTATTATGGGTTGATCAAATTGTGTACCATACACTATAACAATGTATGAATATATTTTTTTAGATGCATGTAACCTGTTTCTCTAGTTTCTTTTGTTTTGAAGGGAAAAGTTTTGTATGAAGAAGCTAATAATTTTTTTTTTACTTTTACTTTTATTCTTTTATTCTTTTTTACTATAGTTTGCTTGAGACTTCATCAGTTCATATCTTTTATGAGATTCTTGTTGTTTAATAATTTGGTTTTGTGGACTTTTGCTCGTCTTTTTGCTTTATTTTTCTTTTGTCAATAGTCTTGTATGTTTGTTGGTTTACTCGTTTGAAAAAAAAACTTGATAAAGATTCATGGTTTCTATGCTCACACCTGAATGCGTCAGATATCTTTTTTAAAAGATAGTACTTGTTTGTGATACGAGTACTTGACGAGTGATATTCTGATTCAGATTCCTGATCACAATCTGTGTTTTTATTAAACCGACCCGTACTTATCCGACTCCTTAATGCCGAATACTAAGCAGAGAAGCGACAAATACTTATTTGCTGTGCTGTGGTTTGACCCGCAGCAAACTCGAGCCGCATAATTAAGAAACTACGCCACCTAGGCGGTATTTTAAGACAAATAATTAGTATAGTAATTTTAATTTATCATATACTTAGTAGTAAATACATATAAATTGTATGTGTAATACGATCAATGCAATCATGCTGTATCAGCCATCCATGATGATATCGATATCAGTCACAGTTGTAAAGGCTTTATCACAGCCTTAATCTCTATGACGTCACGTCATCGACATCAGTCACCGTTGCAAAGGATTTATCAAACCCCTTATCTGTATGAAGTCACGTCACATGAAAAACATCTACTTGAGATATATAATAAAGTATATGATATGGCTTTTTCAATATCACACACCGTATCAACCCGAGACACCAATAAATCCCTCGAACAGAGCTCTTGGGGTTATATTGGCGTCTCGGGTTGATACGGATGTGATATTGAAAAAATCCATATAATATTTTCTATGTATTTACCGTGATTAGGGTCTACATGGTCAGGGCCATCACGGCAATATTAGAAAAAACAATAATTATTTTGCCTTCGTAATAATAAAAAACATTAATTTATATCCATGCAAGTATTTGATATTTTAAAAATGGAAACCATATAGTAGTTAGAAACAGTTGCTTAAATGCGTATACTGTGAATAGAATTAGTATATTTGAGGGTCTGGATGTTGGTCCTTCATTTTTGTATTCTTTCATTTTTAGGTCATTTTCTTTACTCTTTAAATTTTTTGCCTTTTATTCTCTATTTTTCGCTTTTTGGGGCCTTTTTTTTGCTAATGTTTATTTTTGTAGGCTCACTATTCTCTATTCTGTAAAACCATCCAGACCCTCATTTTTTGTTTATTTTCCTCTAATAATTTAGGACCGTTTAGCGTCTTTTTCTTTTTCCTTAAATAGGAGAAACTGATAAACGTAACATACTTATTGATATCTTACCTCTAACTACAGTGTAATATTTCCAACCATTTTCCGAAACTCCAACGCCTGGATCAGTAAAATCCACTCCAAAATGTCTACACTCCGTGGACAAGAAATTGTAGAAGAAAGACATACAGGAGGCATGATCCATACATGATTTTAAACATCGTATTTGTTTCTGTCCAAGCTGAACGTTTATTGGCGTCACGCTGTTAACGATAATGTTAACAAAATCAGCGTTTGCCTTCGCGCTGGCGTATGTCAGTCGTTTTCCATTACTTGTAACTATGAAGGTTACAATGAGGAATAAAACATAGACCAATGATAAGAAATAACTGATCATTTTCATTTAAACTTTCAGCTATGAAATTTAAATTTAATTCATGATTCTTGCAAATAGTCGTTTTCTATTGTATATTTTTCATAGAATGAAAAAATAACAAGATTCCTTTTTCTTCTTGTATATATACGAGTTTAAAGTCTTCCGCCAATTATATTTTAATTCATAATTCTTCCAAATAGTCGTTTACTATAATTGTATATTCCTCATAGAAAGGAAAAATGTCAAGATTCTTTTTTCTTCGTGTATATTTAAATTTAAAGTCTTCCGTCTGATCGAGTGTGACTGCCAATTTTATGTTAATTCACAATTCTTCCAAATAGTCGTTTACTTGTATATTTTGTATAAAAAATAATAATATCAAGATTCTCTTTTCCTCATGTATATAAGAATTTAACGTCTGTCGTCTGATCGGACTTGACTGCCTAGTTATATACCTCCCACAGCAAAAGATTCTTACTTCCGGATTCTTCGTTTTACTTCGTGTATTTACGTGACATTTTCACAAAACTCTCCAACTTAATAATTATGTTAATTTCCAGACGTACTATCGCTTGATATTAAAAATCAGTAATTGATATTAGAATTTACACATGGATGCAAAGTTGAAAATTATGTTTTCCAATTGCGCTATTGATTCATGTGTTTTAATTTACTGTTCGAATTATGATTGGCTGAATTTTAACTATTGATAAAACATTACTGTTCTGTTATGTTACAACGTTTACCATAGGTTATTATAGAAGACAGTAGGTGTCACAGGAAATTGTTCTTTTGTAAGGTGGTATGATTCAAATGAAAAAAATTCTGGTTATTAGCAAAATTAAACTGCTTAATAGTAGTTGACAAATTCTTCTAAAGTTTCATTACGTCATATGGGAAAGAATTCCTACACAGGAAAAAGGTTTATAAGTAATAAAGGCAGTTTTAAACAGACCCGGTAGAGTTTACGCATAATTAAAATCATTCAAAGCAACACTTGTTAATTTATGTTGATCATTGTCATTTTGCTTACAATGTAGTTTCTTCAGTTACCTATTCTAACATCGGACTCGGACTTCATTTAAACCGAGTTTTTACTGTGAATGCGTATTCAACTATTACTGTGTCTGATTATTCCACATTGCTAGATGTATAGGGGAGGGTTGAGATCTCACACACGTGTTTAACCCCGCCGCATTTATGCGCCTGTCCCAAGTCGGGAACCTCTAGCCTTTGTTAGTCTTGTATGTTTTTGTTTTTTTTTGGCTCATTTATATGTTTCGGAGTTTAGTGTGACGTCCTTTTTGCTGAACTAGTATACATTATTTGTTTAAGGGCCAGCTGAAGCCCGACATCGGGTTCGGGATTTTTTCGCTACGTTGAAGACCCATTTGTGGTCTTGGGCTGTTTTCTGCTATTTGGTCGGGTTGTTGTCTCTTTGACACATTCCCCGTTTCCATTCTCAATTCTATTTGTATTTTTATTAATGCAAGTTTGACGGAGCGGTTTTTATGTATGTTTCTACTCTGTATTAAATTAAACCTTTTTATTTTCAAATTCACAGATCATTCTAAAACCCAAATTTCGTACAGTGATCGTTTCCGTTCCGGAACTATTTTCCTTTACTCAATCAATGTAGAGTAGTAATCGGATCGGATTTGGAACTGCCGGGGAGTTTGCCAATGTCTAAACCCTACTTAGGCAGAGTGATGTCAAATAATCATGTTTTTCAACTCATTTAATTTAAGTAATAGAGAAATATAGAAATTGTTTATGATTGATAGATTGATCGCTATTTGATTATTGTCCAGTGGTTAATATTTCAGGCATAATAATGACAAGAGGAAATCAACCAATAAATCAATTTTGAAGACCGGGAAAAGTTGGGCTCCCACTGAAGAAAGAAGGGTTTATTAGATAGGAAATAAAAATTACCTTGCAATAAACTAATTGTAGATACCGGATTAAAATTGTGTACGCCATACGCGCGCTTCTTGTAATACATTCCAAAGTTGAAGAGCATTGTTGACCCAAATTCCAGAAGTTTTTGCCAAATATAACTACGGTAGTCTATTCTTGGGGTAGAAACGCCTTTCGAAAAATTAGTGACCTTAAATCCCCAAGTCTTTTAGTTGTCGCGTAAGGGTTCTTTTATGTAAACAGTATCTCCAGATAAGAACCGTCTTCTTCCATTCTAATTGGACGTGGTTGCGTATTTTTACATCCCGCATTAAGCAGCAATGCGGGTCTTACTATTACGGAAGGGGAAACCACCCCTGTCACCCTTTGGATTCTCTTTTTTTGTGAGAAAAAGATCACCATAACAGCTACCAGGTGTAGTTTCAACATGTCGTCTGCACTACGAGTAAATCAAATCCATATCGCGATCTTTCTTAATGTATCCTAAAATAAAGTCGTTGGGAATTATTGAAACGTTTGAGGTTTTTACAGGCAAAACAGTTGATTTCCTAAATAAATGTTGTAAAACGTTTTTACAGTATCAATAATCGTTGTTGCTACGAATTTACTATTGCAATGGAGTTGTTGGTACTAGTTTCGAGTTTAGTAGCTGTCATTAGTAAAAACCAAATTGAATGTGAATAAAATACAGATACTGTGTCCACCCGTTGCTTATAAGGATCCAACAACGCTACCCTCGTTTTAATTTCAGTTTTAAAGATCTTTCGGGGTCATCTGGTTTTGTCGAAATGATACATACGTTCAAAAATTTGAAGGTAGAAATTGCATTGGCAGATGTATTAATCACGAAAACAGAAATTTCAAATTATTGCTAGCTGTGCTAATCAGGTTGAGTAAAAATCAATATATATTAGAGTGTGGATGGGGGTGTACAGAATAGAGAATAATTGGAAAAAAATATAAAGAATAGAGAAAAATGGATCAAAAAAATAAAGAATAGAGAATAATGAGGTGCTAAAATATAAAGAATAGAGAATAATGGGCAAAAAGTATAAAGAGAAGAGAAAAATGGCCTAAAAAATAAAAGAATACAAACACGAAGGACCCCCATCCAGACCCTTATATACTAAAAAGTATATCAGAAGTTGTTTTATTATTTTGAGACATGCATTTCAAGTCAATATTCAACCGAAGTCATGACAATAGACACGAAGACAACCTTTGAAATAAAACCAGGAATATGTCCTCTTCGAAATGTAACATTACCATGTTCAATAAAACCAAGATCTGGGTTTTAGCACTGATAAGTTCACACACAAGGAACATGTGTATAATGATTCAAATTTATGTATCCATAATTTCATGGTGAATTACCCTAAACCAAAACTTTATCCTTATACGGAACTGACGGACACACATACCAGAAAACGTTATGCCACCTACTTTCGATGACAAGACATAAACAGTATTGCATGAAGTAAGTTAGGCTATAATGTATCTTGTTTTTTACATTTTACTTTTAGGAGTAACAGAAAAGACTGGTCGGCTCTGAGTCAGAGTAATGTTCCCGAGTAGGGTGGCATGTCCTCCTGCGGACTATTACCTCGTGAACTAACACCTTACAAATCTGACAGAGCGTGTCGGTCTAGTACAAAGCAGGTTTAATATTCATCATCATCATCATCTTCTTTTTCTTCTTCTTCTTTTTTTCTTCGGTCGGTTTTTCATTTGAACTATCCAGACACCCCTCGGTGTGTTATACGACAAACAGACCTTAAAATATTCATTATCTATAACATCATAAGATCTAAGACTACGAAAACATGTCACCTGAGTTTAATGAGACACAGACATATCGTTTCGGTCAACCAGTTCGTGATAGTATACATAAAAGAGAAACTAAAGACAACAAAGGGATATTGAAACTCATAAGTCGAAAATAAACTGTCAACGCCATGGCAAAAAAAAAAGAAAAAGACCAAAAGACAAAAGTATATAACAAAAATGTCGAACTCCAAGGAAATAACAGTACACAAAACACAACTTGGAAAACTAAAGACTGAGCAACACGAACCCCAACAAAAACCGAGTATGACCTCAGGTGCTCCGGAAGGGTAAGAATGTCCTGCTCAACATGGTGCACCCGTCGTGTTATTCGAGTAAGTACAAACCCAGAGATAAATTTGGTAGGTCATATTCGGGAAAAAAGGGTATGGGATTGTCGGAACAATCGGAACATATCCGTCGTCATATCTGTGAAACAGATATTCCATAACGGTCAACTAATTTGTGATGGCGTCCGTAAAATTTACGATGAGATGATTCAACTTCACCACTTTGAACTCTTGGTTTAATAGCTTCCTTGTGAGCATCAACACATCTGTCAAGGAAATTATGATAGAACATACAAGCTCTGGAATATCGTATCAACTGGGAGATATATACTCAATATGCAGGCGCTGCTGAAATGATGCTATATAGAAATGGAAAGTTCACAATTTGGAAGGTGAAATCATCTCTTTTGTCGTAAAGTTCTGTTTTCAATGACCTTAATTATCGATTTTTAGATGTTAGTCGGCAAACTTAACTATATCAGTTGTATCTTTTATCTCAAGTTCGATTTGATAGATGCGTTCCACATAGACACTAAACTTTGAATTATTTAGTGAGAGAACATCATCTATATAACAGAAAGAGAAGTTAAAGAATAATGCCAACTTCTTTTCTTTCTTCCACTCGTTTAGTGTCAGTTTTAGTCGTTCTTTCTCATAATAGTCCGAATAAAGTGTGAACATGCACGATTGTTACGTATCAATCGAGGAAACGACATACGATGGCGCAAAGGTAATGTCGCTGATGAGAAATGGGAAGTTGAAAATGAAAATTTGAAATCATCATGCTTGTCATAGATTCCAGCTAGAAGTCGTCTATCTGTGTAAATATCGAAGAAAAGATCAAAATAGGAAGCAGACCAGTGGTGGATGCAGAAATTTTCATAAGTGGGGGCCCACTGACTGCCTATGAGCGGGCCCGCTCCAGTCATGCTTCAGTGATTCCTTAAATAATAAATCAAATTTTTCCCTCAAAAGGGGTTGCCCAGGCCCCCTGCCTCCCCTAAATCCGCTTCTCCAGACCTTCTATTTTTGGTAGTATTTTTAATTTCAAGTTTACTGGAATATATGAGATTCAAGCGCTCACTGAAATGTGAGTTATTGAGTGACAAGACATCATCCCTATTAATGAAAGGGAATTTTTCGAACTTCGCAAGAAGGTTTTTTTTCTAATACCGATTGCACATACAATTAAATGACTGATGTCTCATAGTTAATGGGAGAAGCAATGTTGATCTGACAATATATTCAGCTTACGGAAATTGTTTCAAAGATGGTCTTTCAGGAACCACACAACATATTTCGATTGCATTGAATGACTCATATTTTGGAATCACAAAAATGATTACCAGAACAACAAGCTGACCAATCAATTTGACTGTCCTTAGAACATTCCGTATATCGAAACATTTTATCCAGTGTCTATAATTGTCGTTTTTTTTTCGCGATAAACATTTAACCGCGAAATTACCTTCGAACATTTCACTGTTCAATTAGGTACCTTAGATATGTTGTACAAGGCCATGCAAAGCGGA